AGCTCGACAACTGTCTCTCTGTAGCTCAGTTGGTTAGAGCTTGACAACTGTCTCTCTGTAGCTCAGTTGGTTAGAGCTCGACAACTGTCTCTCTGTAGCTCAGTTGGTTAGAGCACTGCACCGGAATCACAGGTTCGATTCCTGCCAGAGGGCCTACAGTTGCATTTTTCGCAGCTGTTCCTGGGCAATTACTGAGCCATGTATGTATAATCTAGAGAGAGCTATGGCAATCACTGAGCCATGTATGTATAATCTGAAGAGAGCTATGGCAATCACTGAGCCATGTATGTATAATCTAGAGAGAGCTATGGCAATCACTGACCCATGTATGTATAATCTAGAGAGAGCTATGGCAATCACTGAGCCATGTATGTATAATCTGAAGAGAGTTCTCTAGTGGTAAAAACAGACACAGTAACTAGCGAATAAATCCTGAGATTTTACACCAAATGGAATTTAATGGCAGTCGCGACTGGGATCTACCTTCACAAAAATATTCTTCCATTGATTTCTAGAATTCTATTCATAGAAACACCATAACCATTTGTGCAGTGATAAATAGGATTTGTGCAGTAATATAAAGACAGGTTTATACTTGCAATTTTTGCTGCGATTTCTTAATTCTAGTTCGATTTTCTGCTTCTGATGGATGTGAATGAGTAGATGAGCTATGAATGTTCTGAGTATATGAACCCTCATCTGAACATTCATAACTCATTCAATCTTTCACATCCAATCAAAAGAAGAAGATCGCACCTAAAATTCCAGCAAAAATTGCAAGTGTAAACGGTTCTTAACATTAAAGTTCACAAAAAGACAAGAAGTTACGAGAACTCTTTATCATTATCAGATTATCTTCTCAGTAGAGGATAAAGGACGAAACCTGTCCAGTCCACTCCATTAAGGCCATGTTGCAAGAGTCAATCTTAAAGGGTCAAAGTTGTAACGCAATTTCCAACATAGATCTATGTTATCTAAAAATCTTGACAGTCATAAAGTTATCAAACTAGAATCTTTCCAAATTCTTTTACGTCCTACATTTAGCGTCAGCTTTCGTTCAAGGTCCGAGTTTCTTTACCTCGCATGCTGATGAAATCATAAATTCTGTCTCCATTAAATCATTTGCAATCAGACTAAAATGTGGAACTAAGTGGAACTTTTGCTGTTAGCGGGTGTCGATTTCTTGAAACGATTTAATGGATTTGTGAGGTCACGAGAAAATACTCAGAATGCTTTAGTTAAATATTATGGTTAAATATGTAAACATGTCGACGTTGTTATATAGCCATTTTTTATATATTCTGTACTTTAACAAGAAGATTTACTGGGTACTGTGCTACAGCAAAAAGTCCAGTCACGCACACGTCATAGAAAGGAGATATAAACTTTATAAACAAAAGATAATGTAAAACGCAACAGAACGGCGAACATGCAGATTCCGCCATCTCAAATAAGTTGCAGACTACAGAGGAGAGTGGGCAGTAAGGCTCCCTCATGCACCACCCCATTGAAAACCTGCACTTCTCCTTGCAGATGAGGCTAGATCTGCCCTTGATTTAATAGTGATAACAACAGCGTAACTGTGATGCCATCATAGGCGTACCGGACGGGGGGGGGGGCGGTAGCCCCCCCCAGTTTTTTGGGCAGTTGGGCAATATTCGATCAACAGTCGGGCAATTTTGGTTTGCAATAAAAAAAAATGGGACAAATTCTGTCAATTTTGTCTAAAATTAAGTCAATTTTTTGG